GTCAGTTCAGCAGCCGACTTTGGCTCAGGTCATGACCTCTCAGTTCATGAGTTTGAGCCCCGCATTGGGCTTTGCTGACAGCTCAGAGCCTGGAGCCTGCTTAGGATTCTGTGTCTCTCTCTGTCTGCTCCTCCTCAACTCATGCTCTGTCTCTCTCTGTCTCTCAAAAATGAATAAACATTAAAAATTTTTAAGAAATTTTATCACTTTTTGAAAGAAAATTTAAAAGAGATAAATAAATAGAGAGGTATATTACTCACGATCTTGAAGACTTGGTGATGAAGTAGAATACTTAAGATACTGGTTTTCCCCAGAGTGAGCTAGAGATTTGCTGCAATTTTACTCAAAACTTCTGCAGGAACTTTTGTGGAAAGCAATAATCTGATTCTAAAAGTTTTTATGGAAACACAAGGGAACTAAAATAGACAAAACAATTCTGAAGGAGTACAAAGTTTGAGAAGTCACACTACCTGATTTTAAAACTAATTATAAGGCTTCAGTGATCTGGACAGTATGGTGTTGGAAAACAGGATAGGTATTGAAGCCAGCTCATATCAGCTCATGAGAACCAAATGCTAAATTTTCAGGAGTTTTACAAGTTGATTGATGTCAAATTGGTTGCTTGAAATTGTCTATTGTGACTGTATTTAAAAACAGAAATCAGCAAGCACTGCAAATCAGGACTCTCCCTACCTTTCCCCTCCCCCCGCCCAGCCCCCAGAGCCAGTTCTTTTTTTTTTTTTTTAATATTTTTTAATGTTTATTTATTTCTTGAGAGAGAGAGCATGAGTGGGAGAGGGGCAGAGAGAGAGAGGGAGACACAGAATGTGAAGCAGGCTCCAGGCTCTGAGCTGGAGTCCAACATGGGGCTCGAACTCACGGACTAAGAGATCATGACCTGAGCTGAAGTTGGATGTTTAATCGACTGAGCCACCCGGGTACCCTAGAGCCAGTTCTTAAATATTACCATCCCACCTCTACATCTGGATCAAGAGAACAAAACAGAGAACTCAGATGCTGACCCACATATATTTGGGCAATTTACTTTCAACAAAGGTACAAGGGCAATGTAAGGGAGAAAAGAGAGTCTTTTCCCATAAATAGTGCTGGAACAGTTGGACCTCCATATGCAAAAATAAATAAACATCTTTCTAATTCTTCCATCTGATATAAAAATTAACTCAAATGGATACTAGGTCTATGTATAAAATCTAAAACCATGAAACCATTAGATGAAAACATAGGAGGAAATCTTTGTGAATTGGGGTTAGGCAAATATTTCTTAGATATGACACCAGACTGGTAAATAAGACCACCAAAATTAAGAACTTCTGCTCTTCATAAGACACTATTATGAGAAAGAAAAGACAAGCCACAGACTAGGAGAAAATATTTACAAATCACATATCTGATAAAGGACTTAATACAGAATATATAAAGGATCCTCAAAACTCATTAATATGAAAGCAAACCAATGTTTTAAAGAGGCAAAAGAATGAATAAGACTTTGCATATCAGCAAGTTAGCCACTAGGGAAATACAAAATAAAACCATGATTATACTACAACACATCTAGAAAAATGGCTGAAATATTTTTTTTATTGATAACACCAAGCACTTGTGAGGACCCAGGACATCTGGAACTCTCATCCATTGCTGGTGGGAATGCAAAATGGGAGAGCCACTTCCGAAAGCAGTTCAGCAGTCTCTTATAAAGTAAAACATACTCCTACCACACAACCTACCAATCCCACTTCCAGGTGTTTCCCCAAGTGAAATGGAAACTTACACTCACCCAAAACACTGTATGTAAAATTTTAGAACGGCATTCACATTTCCCCCAAACAGGAAAGTACCTGATCTCCCTCAACTGGAGAATGGATAAACAACAGTGTAATATTCCAACAGAACCCTACTCAGTCTTCACAATGAAAGAACTACGAATGCACAGCAGCATGGATGAATCTCAGTTGTGTTGTGCTACGTGAAAGAAGCCAGACTCACGGGTTGCGTACTTCAGGATTCTATTTATATGACATTCTGAAAGGCAAGAGCTGAGAGACAGAAAACAAATCAGAGGCTACCAGGGACTGGGGCTAAGGGCTGCAGGGGAGTGAGTTCTATTGAGTTAAAGACCTGTTCTCTATCTTGATTGCACTGATTGTTAAACCACTGGATGTGTTTGTCAAAATATGCAGAATAGTATACTAATACAGGTGATTTTGACTCTATATACATTATTCCTTAGTGAAAAGAAACAAACAAAGAATCACCATGTCTGTTGAGTTGAGAACAGATTGTAAGGCAAGGCTGGAAACAGGAAGACCATTAGGAGCCCGAGTGAGAGAGATAGTGGTTGGACCAAAAGTGTCCCCAGAATATGGCAGTACATAAGTCATCACTGACTTGTGGACACAGTTTTAAAGAAGAGGCAAAGGTGGAGACAGGCTTCCAGGATGAGGAGTGAGGTAGGCATGTGCCCATGGCACTGGATCCTGGACCACTGACTACTCTCTCAAGAAACCTGCATGGACCTGTCCCACTAGTTGAAGCCCAGCTCAGAGACAGCCCTGGGGCTTGCCCAACTTTAACACTGAAAGTGTTAAGATCCTGCGGTCCCGAGCTCACCAGGACAGGTGGTCACCTGAGCCTGCTCCTCGACCTGCCCCCGGCCAAAGGGCTGCTCTGATCACACTGCAGTTCTGTCTTCCCTATGAGCTGGCAGCTCTGCCCTCCATCCCTTACAAGCCTCTGAACTACTTTCTGATACTGCTCACCCGTGAGGAGATGCAGGAATACTTAATAACAGAGCAGCATTCTGGGGCTTTCCATGTCACCTTCCCTTCAGCCACTGTGTGAAGGCTGTTAGATGATTCTCGACGTCAGGAAGAAATGAAAGAGTGGTTTCATCCCTTCACTGCCAGGAAGTCGGGAGCACTGAGCCGGGAGCACACCTTTCCCTCGTCTCACTTTTGAAATGCCGACCTTGAAACAGGCACCATGACTTTTGCTTTGGTGTTATCCATCTTGACATCTCCACAGTTGTGCATATTGAAAACACTCCCTCATGCTCAGCACCTCTCTCTGCTTGCCCCATGCCTGCCTCTCCTGGATCTCCTTCTGCCTTTCTGATAATGTTTCTCAGCCTCCTTATTGCCTAATGAAGTGCATACTGGCCGAGCCTTTGGAGTAATATTTGAGTGTCTGGACTTTGACAATAAACAGGACCTGGGTTCGAATCCCAGCTTTGTCACTTTTTAGCGCCATGACTTTTGACACTTTACTCCTCTGACCTTCAGGTTTTCCCTCTGTAGAAGGGGGGATAATGAATGCCATCTCATCAGACTATTATAAGAACTAAACTAAATGAGATTATGAATAAAGGGGTAAAAATTCAGCACAAACTTGTAACAGAGCAAGCAACACATAAACGTAGCTCTTGGTATTAAAAAAACATCCTCCCTTGGGGCACCTGGGTGGCTTAGTCAGTTAAGCGTCCGACTTTCGCTTAGGTCATGATCTCACGGTTCAGGGGTTCGAGCCCCGTGTCGGGATCTGTGCTGACTGCCAGCTCAGAGCCTGGAGCCTGTTTCAGAGTCTGTGACTCTCTCTCTCTCTGACCCTCCCCTGCTCACGCTGTCTCTCTCTCTCTCTCTCCTAGAAATAAATTTAAAACACACTAAAAAAAAAAAAAAAGAAAAGAAAAGAAAAGAAAAGAAAACATCCTCCCGACAGTAATATTCAACAACAGGCAAGTGGTAATAAGTTAGGCTACACCATGATTTATTTATAGAATACTATATGACGAAGCCATTAAAAATAATGTTCTGAAGAATATTTAATGACACAGAAAAATGTTCACAATATAATTTTAAGAGAAAAAAATCAGGCTATAAAACTCAGGTCCCTATTCTGTTCTTTAAAAGAAATATGTGTCTATGTGCGTGTCATGCATATGTATTTAGGAAAAGAGAAATCCAGAAAATGATGGCTGATTTTCTTCTCATTTACTTCTTCTTCACTTCTTTATATTCTTCTGAATTTTCAAGGTTTTGCTAATGAACATGTGTTACTATCATAACAATAGATATTTTTGAAATTCCGTCACCAGTTTTTTTTCATTCAACAGATTTTTCTAGCACACATTATGTGCCGAGCAATATTTGAGATTCTGAGAATGCTACAATAAAAAACAGCCAACAAGCAGGTTTTTCTCAAGATACCACCTAGCCTTGCATGGAATTCTCCTTAATTGTTTTATGCACTCATTCTGTCTCCACATATAAATTATTCCTCGAGGGAAGGAGCCACATGGTCCTCTTCTCTGAAGTCCTACAACATCAGACTGCATATACCCAGGAAGAACTCAGTAATGCGTTGTACTTTGAGATCTGGGCCTTCGTTGAAAGGGGGCCAGTTTCCTACAATTGGTTATCAGAGGAAGAAAAGAAGAGGTGCCTTCTTATATTATCTACTGTCCCCCTTTCTCCCTTGTCCTGGGTGTGAGAGGGATGAATGTTCAAAGCTGCCACCTTCAGTGGGTTTTTCTGGATGCACAAGACCCGCATGGCTAGTCTAGCCCTATGTGAAGCAGTTTGCTTTCTCCAGCCTGCGCCAGAATACATACCAAATCTGCCTTTTCCCACATTTGTGCAACTTGAAAGCATATTTAGTGATCATGTCTTCTTAGATCAGGGTTTTTTTTTTTTTATTGTCTTTACACCAGCCACGCCTTGGGCAGTCCAGTGAAACCTATGGACCTTCCTTAGAATAATGTTTTTCAATGTCTAAATACACAGGATTACAAAAAATAAATACATAAATAAGGAAAAAGAAAAAACCCTAAATATACTACAATGTAATTACTAAAGTATTTTAAAAGCTTATTTATTACAGTAATAAATTTGCCTCTTTGTATTGCATTAAAAAATTATATTTGAAATACAGTCAAGTTAAAATTAAATTTTCATTTTTAAAGACATATGCATACAAAGACTTCATCGGCTTACCTTGAATTAAGAACATCAAATGATGGACTTTGTTTTCAAGATAATACACATGTCCTGTTAGAAATCCAGTTGATTTTGACATTTTTTTAATGATGACAATGTTGAAAACCCAATCCTCAAAGATACAGTATTGAAAATAGAATTAAAGCTTCCATAGCACTTTCACAAATCAGATAAGGGTCTCCTGGAGATCACCAAAACTCCTTTGGGCTTTTTAGTGAAACTATAGTTAGAGTAGGGTGTTGGTCCTAAGATCAATGAATTCATCTTTGGCTAGGTCAACACCTCAGATGCAGTTTATATCAGAAAGAAAAAGAACATTACCCTAAGGTTCAATTTTGTTACCATTAAGACAGAAATAACTTTTGAAAGAGTTCTAAAGTGTTTCCAGGTGTTTGTAGATTACTCTTTTCAAGTAAATTGACAGCATTTTGTAACTCAGCTCTATTGAGGTAAAGCACTTGAAAGTTTGCAAAGATGTCAGACTCGTATCAACCAAGAAAGCTCACAGTGTTTTTAGAGGTGTCCATAATGGTGATATCAGGGAATTAAGAGTCATCTCATTCCTATGGTTAAAAATATCTGCCAAGGAAGCCAACCAACCCACAGACAAAATTCTTTCTTTCTAAGTGCTCCAAGAATGGATTTTCTTTTTCTGTTAGAAAAAGTGAAACTTGCCTCTTCAAAGTCAGTAAGCTTCTCTGTGGTAGAGAAGCCCCCTTGTTTTCTATTGTTTCTTGACACACCTGGTAAAAACACTATGATTCTGAGACCCACTTTTGATAAAGGTGATGACTTTTAAGACTGCCAACAAGACTTCTCTCAGGATTTTTGGGAAAGCTTGAATACATCCGTGTTAAATGCAGCAAATGAAAAAACAAGAATTCCTCTTTGTTGATGTTTGCAGGGTCATCATGAACAAAACAAGGAGGTAGCCATGTTGAAGGGTGTCTGTAGTGTGACTGAGTGGCTCACTGAGGGGAGTGACAAAGCTGCCAATTCCTCCAGAATCCACTTCAAAATATGTTAACCGTTCTTCACAGATGCACCTCTGACTAGAGAGAGACACTTCCTGGCCTCTCCCCATCCCTCGTGTGCATGGCTCTAGGTGAATTTCCTCCAGTAAAGTGAGCCTTCTTTTGTTTGGTGCTTGGTAAGAAACTTTAAGAGTGCTTCCAGAAGTTTTCACAAAATGGCAAATCCATATTTTCCGAGCATCTTGGCTTTTTCAAATTGAGCTTTCTTCATCCCCATACACACAAAGGCCTTCATTTTCTTGGATGCATTTTCTAGACTGACAGACGTTTAGGTGCTCTCTCAGTCTTCCTGACCTCAAAATTCCATTCTCAAGAATCTGTCCACAATAGAAAGGAAGCCACTGTGGCTTTTACATCCCATTGCTTTATTAATGTAAAGAAACCAGGTACACACCTTTCTTGTCTTTGGCAGCTCAAGATAAATTGGGTCTGTAAAAAAATAAGTAAAACAGAAAGCTAAAATAAAATATTTTTTATTCTTTGACATTCCTTGAAATGCAATATTTTGCTTATGGCTCCTAAGTCATTTGTTTGATAAACTGCATAGAAGGGAATAATTTGTATGTGAATTAAGTAAAGTATAAAATGTTCATTAAATTTTAAGAAAGGCTAAGTGAAAAAAGGCAATTTTTATGACTAGCCAGAGTGTTTACTCTAGTAACATCATTCGCCTTTGTGTAGACCAGGGGATTATACAGTTGCTCAGGAGTCCTGTTCATAGAACTTAGCTATTGCTTCATGTGACTCTCTGTGACTTTCTAGAAATAATGGTTCTCATTTCTAATACTGTCACTGCTTCCCACAATGGCATTCTTTTCAACCCATGACATTTTCACAGAACAGCACAAGAACAACATGTAGATAATATACTGTGCAGGTAAGACTTTACTTCAAAACACAAACGTGGTGCGAAACAGAGAGTAAAACTAGAAAAATAAATCAAAGAAAGTGCTTCCACTGCTCACAGAGCTTACCACACCGTGCATAACCCATGTCACCGTGCAATCTGTTAGTGATCACAAGAAGTTACTTTAAATACCACACTTCGACAGTCAGCTCAGCCATCAGTTATGTTTGAACTAGTCTGTGTCACCAAAGGCTGTGTTGCCGACAGAGAGTGAAAAACTTGCATTAGAGCAATTCAGACTGACAAAACTTGGGCAAAGTATGTAAAGGATTCAACTCCTTCTGTGTACCGATCCATAAACATTTACAGTTAAGGAATGTTGGAATGTGTGGGTCTCCCCTGTGAGAACAATCACACTCACTGCCCAGTGGCCACCCTACCCATGCACAGAGTTGCCAGACAATGGTTGGCTAAAATGAAGAGTTCTTCTGGAAGAATAATCCCACATTTCCAGGCACCATCTAATAGCTTCTGTAATTTCAAAATAGTGGTGGGTGTAAATGACATTTCAGATACCTATGGCAACTGTAATATGATATGAAAACATCTGTGATTTCCACTGATGTGACAAAATCACAGGTCATGCCCCTACTACAAGCTTGTTGTCATGCTCGTAATTGAAGGAAATGCTATGTTTCAGATACAGGATACTGAAAATGAAGCTATAATTCTTCCCTACCTATGTCCATGGCCCCTCTGACTTCTATTCCCCAGACCCCGTGGGCCCATGGATCCAGTTAAGAACCTGGACCAATAGAGCAGCCCCCAAATTTTAGACAAGAGAAATAAGAAAAAAACAGCAAGTTTTTGTAATACTAAATTTTTTAAATGTTAAAGGTTTTTTTTTCTTTGCCTTAAAAATACTTTTGATAAAATGGTAGAGTAGATAATAATTTTTTTAATGTTTTTACCAGATAAAAATGAAAAGTTGGCAATCCTATCTCCAGTTCCCTTACCAATTCCTTTTATTGAGTTTATTATCCAAAATCTGGGACTTACTGGTCCAGAACACCAGGACAAATCCAATGAGCCCCAATTCCTAATCACACCTAACAGAACCCCAGATTAGTCCATTTATCCACTCCTCAGGGAAGGGGACCCATTCCCAGTATAGAGCAAAATCCTAAGCACTCTAAGGATAAACCGACTTCCGGGGAAGAGATTGATTTACAGGGTGGAAATGTGACTCACTCTGGCCAGTTGAACCTGAAGGTAATGTGCTTGTGCCCAGGTGTCTGACGTCTGGAAATGCTGGGGTTGTCCAGACACCATGAGGGAAGCCAGCCTAGGATAAATTCATCAGAATGAAGAGACAGAGAGGACCTGGGTCCTCAATGATATCACAGAGCTGATCCCAACACCCAGAAGCCCCACTGCATTCCTTGCTATGTGACATGGCTCCTAACTGTTTATGATCCTTGAGTTGGGGGATTTCTCTAACATGCAAGTGAAGTCATCCTAACTGACCCAGAGAGACACTTTGGGAAGCTTCCGGAAGGGGCATTAACTCCTAAAAAGTTGCATCAGGGTACTAAATAAGCTTACCTGTCCCTGTATATGTCAATTATCCCTTCTACAACCCTAACTCAAGCAACTCCCCACGATGTTGCTGATTTTACTTCCTAAATATCCCCCATTCTTTCCATTTCCGTGGCCAATTCTGGCCCAGCCATTGCTAGCTATTCAGTCTACACAGCTAGGACACAGCCCTCCAAGTGGGTTTCCTGCTCCCACCAGGGCCTCTTCCAAACCGCAGCCAAGTGACTTTGTTTTAATGCAGACCAGTTCACATCACTTTACTGTTTAAAACCTTGCAATGATTTTTCTATTGAATTTGGAATAAAGTGCAAACTACTTGAGTTACCTACAAAACCCTGTAGAACTTGACCCTCCACACCCCTCACCCTTGCCCTCCAAGCTGCAGCCACGCGGCCCCATACCTCCCATCTCTGCTGTGTATACTTAAAGCCTTCAGACCCCAGAGAGCTCTGCTCAGCAACCACTTCTTCAGGGAGAACTTGTGATGACTGCATCTTCCACCAGGACCAGACCTGGTCCTCAGGAGTCTACTCACAGCACTCTGTATAGTCTCTCCTAGTATTTAACACAATTTTCAATTACCTATTCATTTGTGTGATTGGCTGATGTCTATTTTCCCTACTAAAAGATCAGCTTCCTCTCTTGTTCACCACTGGATTCCCAGTCGCTAAAAGAGTGTAGGTATTCAAGATATTTGTGGAACAAATGGATGGATGTTCACAAATGGTCACAGATACTTCTAGGAAGTAGCTTGGTTCCGAGTATCTGGCTTCATAAACACTACACAGGATCCCTGTTTACCACCTCCCAGAGTCCTGCTCTCAGGCATAGCAACTTTGCACCTGACTACCCCCTCTCTGTCCCCTGCTGGAGGTGGGGAGCAGCATGCTCTCCACCTCTCCAAATCATGGAAGGAGGCAAGACTGCATAAGTCTGTTATGGACTGAATGTCTGTGTTCCTTTGAAACCCATTTGTTGAACCCCTAACCTCACGTATTAGTCGTATTGGGGCCTTTGGGACATGACTCGCTTTAGATGAGTTTGTGAGGGTAGGCTCCTCATCGTGTGATTAGTGCCCTATAAAAAGAGGAAGAGACCAGAGCTCTTGCTCCCTGCCTTTCTCTCTGCTCCTTCCCCCACCCCCCTGCTGTGGGAAGACAGAGCAAGGAGGCAGCCATCTGTAAACCTGGAAGAGAGACCTCAGCAGGCATGGAATCTGCGGGCATCTTGATCTTGGATTTCCAGCCTCCCAACTGTGAGAAATAGATGTTTGTTGTTTAAGCCATAAAGTCAGTGGGTTTTGTTACAGCAGCTGGACTAAGAAAACGAATCAACTGTGTGGGTTGCAGAATCCGAGACATGGGCTCGCTCCGGTTCTGCCACTTACCACTTCCACTCCTCAGGACTTAGCAGCCAATACCTCAGAACCTCAGTTCTTCATTAGTGAAATGAGATAATCAGAATAAGAACCACATAGAGTTGCCATGCAGATTAAAAGAGGCAAGCGCTCGGCAGAATGCCTGGTGCACAGTATGAACATTCAGCAACAATGGTGTCTATTCTTGCCTGAATTACTGCCACAGAGCTGAGGCACCACCTTAGAGATTAATTAGTAAACGGCCTGAATTCACAGATGAGCAAATGCAATGCAAACAGGCTCCGGTGCAGAACTACAGGAGGAGCCAGGAGGAGCCATCCCAGCGGCTACTCTGGCAGCCCATGGCCCTCCCAGGGCTGAGAAAGAGCATGAAGGGGGAGGAGCCAGGAGGTTCTTTCCTCCAGTCCCAGAGTGGGCTGTGCTAATAAGTGAGTAGAGAAAGGACCAGAGGGGGGCTTCTCTGCCCCAACTGAATATCCATCCCTCCAGACATAGCCTAGAAGAATGTCCTAATTAATCCAGTACCGTCCATCTCTTTTACCAGGCCCTCCTGTTTACTGCTTACTTCCAGACTGTTTACTGGGCTTTCTTTCAACACTGTGGTAGCTTTCTCCCTGTCCTGGGCCCAACAAAAAATGAATTTCCTGCTAATAGCATCCTCATCATGCGAACACCCCAAGGTTATTCTAGGAGGATGCAGTTCAGAGACAGCCTCACATCCACACACACATCTGAACAAAGAATGTATTCCTTGACGCCTGCCTGATGATGCAGCTGGGCAGCCTTGACAACGATGAGGAAGAAACGAAAGAGCAAGAGGGAAACAGAGAGAAGAATCTGTAAGAAGCGCAAGTGTCCAGGGGCAACACAATCAATCACTTCTAAAGGGCATACTTCCCCTGGAGAAAAGGTTGAAGGGAATGAGCCAGCATATGTAATGAAGAATTCCGAATCTATTGATTGAAATCTGTTGTATTTTCTCACTAGTTGAGAACCCATCATTTTTGCATCAACCAATCGATTTATGACTTATGTAAACGGAAAACAGAAACTTTCCAGGAAATGGGCAAGTTCAGCAGAGATGCCTCGTTCTGTTACCCTGCAAAGCCCGCATCTCCGTCATCTTTGCGATGAGACACGGCCAGCCACCTCCACACTGAAGGCTCCCTCATTTCCTCCGCTGCGAATGACAATCACCGGATGACGGCAGTTGCTCTGAGAATGCACAACACTCCCCTTTGCCTCCCGCCTCTGCCAGAGCCGCTTCCCTGCAGGGAGCCCCCTCCTCTGGGCACTTCAGCCACACCTGTCCACCACTGTCACCCAGAAGGTGGCCTTCCAACACCATGTCCCACTGAAGCCTTACCTGGTATCCTCGGGGCAGCGTGAAGAGCTTCCTTCAGTGGGTCCTAGTGGCACCTTGTGCCCCCCACCCACCATTATGACAATGATCACACGGCTCTAACTACTACTTCACCAGAGACATCCCCCCACTGCAGTTTTATGCTCTGATAGGTCACTGCACCCACTCCTATCATGATAATGACTACTCTGCCCACAGTGCTCAATTTTAAAACACACCTTTTTTTCACACCTGTATGTTTCCAAAATAAGAATGTTTTGCAAACAATGTGTGCATTTAGTGTGGTACTGTTCCTGATTTTTTTTTTTTTTTTGGTCACAAAAACGCTTATTATATTGAGAGTGCACCTTAAAATCAAAGAAATAATGTCACTTCCGTGTGTGTCTGACCTCCCCTCTCCACTATGAGTTGTGGGAGCCGGACCGGTGTTCTGACCATCTTTCTGTGTCCGTCCCTTTGCAGGGTGCCTGCTAGGAAGCCACCGCCCAACAGATGGAGGAGGGAGGGGGGAACAAAGGAGGGAAAAAGGAAGAAAGGGAGGAAAGAAGGGAATCTCTTACACTCTGCAACACGCAAGGCTCCTTTGCATTTCGCTTTCACTTACTTGATTTCCCATCAGAGGGCACTCCCAGATGACATTCCCCGGAGCTGTCCTGGCACTGCTGCCCATTTTCTCCCGTCTGCCGTAGATGCTCAGCACAGGCAGGGCAGTCAGCCACCTAGGGCATACGCTCTAAAGAGAGAAGCAATCGGGAGGGGAGGCAAGTCACAGATTCTGGTTTCCTGCAATTCGGCTTCACTGGCCAGACCAATCTTCTGTGAACCCTGCACCCCACAGGTAAGAGCTCAGCCCAGTGAGCTCCATCATGCCTCAGCTCCTTGTCTGTTGGGCCCACCGAGCAGGCCAAGCTCTGGCTTCACCCTTACCTATTCACCTGCTTCCCAAGACTGCAGTCAGCAGCTTTCTCACTTCCCCCAACTCACGCCTTGCCAGCAACATCTTCCCTGGCCCCCAGCGCTCCAAGAATGTCTTCCTTGACCCCCAGCCCTGACAGACCTCACCGTCCTCTGAATAGCACCTGCTGTCTGAGCCGGACTTATTTGCACCCAGTATACTGTGGCTGTTGTTTTACAGGATTTCCCACAACAGAGGGCTAAGCACAGACATAATCAGAGCTCACACATGATTGAAACAAATTCAGGTGACAATCAGCTTTTCTGGGCTCCTTTGCCACTTTTCATTTCCTTGGTCCACAGTTTCTTCTGTTTCTAGCCAGACAAATAAATTCCTCTCTCAGGGGCTCCCTGGTCGGTTGAGAATTATGTCCCTCACTTCTGGTTTTTCCAGGTATTTTGTTGGAGGTACGCCTGGACCAAGCTCCAAGCAGCCCCCTGAAGCTCAGGCCTTGTCAGACATCTCCGTGAACTGGCCTCTCTCCTTAGAGGTTCTTTTCTGTTCTGCTCAGATAACCGCCTTCATGGGCATTAGAAGCGGGAGAAAGGGAGCCTTATGCGGTTGGCCTGTGCACACTGCACCGCTCACTCTGTTAGGCTCTGTTGCCGTGAGCTGCTGTCAAGTCAGGTGTTTGTTCTTTACATTGTTAAAAAACAAAATCCAACTGAGTAAATTTGAAGATCTAATTGCCTTTATTTGATGATTCATGAATGTGCCATCTAGGAAGCATAAAGGAGCCATAAGAGCTGTATAAAATAAAAGGCTTCCATAGGCAGAAAGGGTCAAGACAAAGAGTGGATTGTTTCTGGCAAGGCCATCTTCCTTTGGGTCAAGATGGGGGCACCTCATTGGTGCTGACCAGGTGATTCCAGCTTGACTGGTCAAAGGTCACATTTCTGGAAGATGCTGAAACTGCACTAAGTCTTAGTTTGTGGATGTGGGACTTAGCACAAATGACTCCATTTTGTTGTTGTTTTTTTTTTTATCATGAACAATTAATTTTGTAAACCTAAGGGGTGTCATTTATGTTTGCCCCTATTAAATTCCATCAAGCTTAGCCTTTTCATTCCAGCTGGTTTTTACCATTTTGAAAAACCATTTTGAAGGATAGGCTTCATTCTGTCCTTTCAGTTCCTAAGCAGGGTGTAAACAGTGGACACAGACTTTGTGGGTAGCATCGAGGAAAGAATTAACACCATGTCTATAGCAAGGATTTAATTCACTTCTTAGCTCTGAGATACCAAGCAAGGATTTAATTCACTTCTTAGCCCTGAGATACCATGAGGCCTGGCCAACTGAATGGCCTTTTAGGGCTCGTTTTTATAAATAAGAGTGGCACATGCCCCATAATTACCATCTTAGCCCACTTTCTCCCTTGGGCTCCTCACAGAGTGCTCCCTGTCTCAGTAAATGGAAGGCATTCCTAATTCCTCCTTCCCCTGCACATGAAATCAGTTCCTTGGTCCTATCAATTGATGCTATCGCCTCAATAAATACTGCCATTCAGTCACCACTTCCTCCTACGTTTCAGCCATGCCTTTGTACACTCTTCTCTTCATCTCTGACTTTCTCTAACTTCCATGATTCAGGCCTCAGCTTGAAACCTCACTTCCTCCAGGAAGGCTTCTCATCCTGCAGATTTCTTACACTGCTCCCAGCCTCCCCAAGGTGGTACTTTCTCTATCATATGACCCAGCCACTGCATGATGTTCTTTACTTAACCCTTCCCAGCTACATCTACATTCTATCGAGACAGGGAAAGGGTCTGCTTTGCTCATTATCACATTCTCAGCATATGGGAGATATCAATAAATATTTCAGAATTATTGAATAAAGTAATGATACTGTGACCTTGGATGGACATGTTTAATATCACTGGCAAGTGATGGGGCACCTGGGTGGCTCAGTTGGTTAAGCATCTGACTTTGGCTCAGGTCATGATCTCACGGTTCCTGGGTTCGAGCCCTGCATCGGGCTCTGTGCTGACAGCTAGCTCAGAGCCTGGAGCCTGCTTCAGATTCTGTATCTCCCTCTCTCTCTGACCCTCCCCTGCTCACACTGTCACTCTCTCTCAGAAATAAATAAAACATTTTTAAAAATTTTTTTAAAAATAAAACAAAATCAATGGCAAGTGATTTTGCTCAACACCCATGAAGCTTCCTAGTATAAGAGAGAGAACACCAGCTTTGGCCCCTGATTAGCAGTGGTACCTGAGTCATGTCACTTAAAACTCCCTGAGCCTCCTTTTCCTCATCTGAAAAGTGGGAATAAAAATTAACCATAGGGGATTGTCCTGATGCTCAAAGAAAATTATGCATATGAATGTATTTCCAAGCTGAAAAACTATGGTTCAAGGACAAATATAACCAAAGACCCCCAACCCTCTGAGCATAGACCCCAATCCTGTCCTGTCTGCAGAAGTTGTATCAAAGACCTGAATGAGCTCAACCTCGAGCACTGACACCCATCAGTTTGGACTCAGTACTAAGTCCAGCAGGTCTTTTTTATTCTTCCTCAACCTTTTCTGCTGTCTTTACCCTCCAACACTCCTGGGCCACTTCCAGAAGCTTTCATAACCACTTCTACTGCTGTCTCTTGGTGGACGGTTTAATGATCCTGAAGGCCCTAGAAATACATTGAATTAAACACAAAATGGATAGCATTGTGCATTTTAGTGAAACAGCAATTAGGAGCGGCACTCACCATGTACTCAGGAGGGCAAGAGAGCTGAGGAGAAAAGGAATAAAGTGACCTCATAAAGACACTTAATTTCATTACCACCAGACACAGTTTCCCATTATTGCTCTTGGTGTTTAATGGCTTTATGATTCCATCTATTGATGCTTAGCTAGTTCATTAACTGTGCTGCTAAAAATACAATTATCTTCAACAAAACCTTTATCATTAATAAAAAGAAGGGGGGAAAAAAACCTCTGTCATTACCAGAACGCAGTGAGGTGGACATACCTTCTGTGTCCCAAAGTTGGTCCCAAAGTTTTCATGGGGACTGAGACTATCACCCATACACTGCATGCAACTAGTTAAAAAATTCAATCATGCGACTCCAATTCCAAGCTCACTCTAACTCACTAGATGGACTGATTCTCTGCACCCAATTGACAATCATTTTGATTAGGTCAGCTGAGTCAACCTGTCACAATGCTTGTGACAAATGTGAAATATGAGAACCTCCATTCAGTCATCCAACAGGTATTTATTAAGCCCCTAATAGGTGCCAAGCACTGGTTAGACATACAGAGATACTTAAAATAGATAAGGTCATGTTTATAAGAAGCCCATAGTCTAGAAGACAAGGTGTGCCAGGTGGGATCAGAGGACAGAGAATCCTAGTTACTGAGCTGGGGCTTAAGGTGGGCCTCTAGTCCTGATATGGAGTGAGGAGGAAGAAGCAGGCACGAACCAGGATAGAACGTGAGAATGGCTTTCCATGTCACTTAGCATAAAGGCCATTACAATGGCTTTTGGGCCCTGTAGGATTTGTCCTCCAATCCCACCTTTTTCACCTCTCTTCAGAGCCTACAAAAGGTAGGAGGGGAGGCCAGTACAAATAACTCAGGATTGCAGTCAGGAGGGGACCAGGGTCTGATAAAAACCTGTGTAAAGATTTTTAGGTGGCTTGCTTATTCTAAAGAGTCTCTAGTTTTACCTTCTGGAGCGCAAACTACTCTCAGCAGCCATGTCTCCTTGGCTTCATTTCCTATTACTTTTCCTCTTGCACACTCTGCTCTGGTCTCTTTAAGTTTCTTGAATGTGGCAGGCCCCAGGGCCTTTGCATCTGCTTGTCACTGCCTCCACAGCTCTTCCCTCAAGAAGTATCAGGGTTCATTCCCTCACTTCTTTCAGTGAAATACCTTTCTCAGTAAAGCTTTTCCTACCGATCTACCCACTCTCCCAACCCCTACCATTTCCCTGTTTTTTTTTCCTAGAACTTTAACCACCATCTGAGATACTATACACTTTACTTTTTTTATATTTATTCACTGTTTCTCTCAACTGACATGTGGGCTCTGAGAGGGCAGGGACATTTTTGTTCACTGCTGACTCCCCAGCACCACAATCATGCCTGGCATTAGAAAGGACTTAGAAAATATTTGTTAACTGCCCAAATGCACTTATTATTTGCCTCTGTCCCACTCTCTCTATAATGCTTAAGCGCCTTTGCCAGTTGACTTGCTCAGAAGTTTCTCAAGAAAAGGTACTGGGGGCAAGAGGAAAGGAGAGGCCATTGTTCTTCCTCTCTCTTTCTCTCACTCCCCCCCCCCATTCTTTGTTGTTGTTGTTGTTGTTATGTCTCTAAAGTGCTATGTTATTTCTCTCATTCCAGTTCTAGCTGTAACAGCCCCTCCTCCATGGCAGCCACTCCTGTGGCTGCAAACCCTTCTCTGTACTCCCAGATCCTGGGAATGACGCCCCCCCCTCCTTGTTCCCTCAACCCTAGCTGTGGTAGCTTCTTCCAGCACTTAATTAGCTTCGAGTCACCTCACAATCTCACTTTTGCTGTCCCAGGCCCCCAACATCTATGCATCTAATAGCCTATAATAAATCCCCTCCATTTAATAAACCTGGCGTGGTTTCTGTTTTCCTGACTAGGTCCTAGTAGATCCAGTGAACATGGGAGGAGAAATTAAAGCACAAGCAGAGTCCTACGAACCAAGCCAATGCAGAGAAAAGGGGAGAGCTCTGACAGAAGCTGTCTCACCCTCCCCAACTCTGAGGGGAGCAAAGAAGCTCCAAGATCAATCAGTGGAGGCTGGTCTGTCAGATACCAGCTGAAGGCTGACCCTACCTGATGGTGGAGCAGATACCAAGTAGGGTCCCTGGCCTCCATCAGGCTTGGCTCCAGAAAGCCTGAACCACATGTACAATCCGGTGGATCTAGCCAAGAGATGCTCAAGAGAAACCAGCAAAAAGAGAGCCAAGGGCTGAGCCCCCAACACTCTCCTCCCAGGCCTGGGAGGCCCTGCAGTGCAGTCTTCTGGGTCTAGCAGCACCATGTTTATATCGGGATAATCACTGAGGATGTCATCTAATTGCACTGGTAGTTTCTGCTTCTTATCTCATGTACTTCTCTCCCTCAGCCGTTCATCCCTGTGACTAGCATAGAGACAACTCATGGCTCAGTTGTGCACCTTTTTAAAATAAATTTTATTTCAATGTTTATTTATTTTTGAGAGACAGAGACAGAGCAGGAGCAGGAGAGAGGCAGAGAGAGAGAGAGGGAGACACGGAATCCAAAGCAGGCTCCAGGCTCTGAGCTGTCAGCACTGAGCCTGACACAGGGTTCAAACTCACGAACTGTGAGATCATGACCTGAGCCGAAGTCAGATGCTACCCAGGTGCCCCAGTTGTGCACTTTTTAATGTGTCAGACGTTGAGATGTATGAATTGAATTGGTAATTAGCATTCAGGTTTTTCCTGAAAAGCTGTTATCCATAGTGCATCTTATAATCAATGGCATCTTAAAAGTAAAAGATTGTAGTATTAGCAAGAAAAACCTTAACGAGAACCTAAATGTGTGCCAGGCCCTGCACTGGATGGTTCCACTGCCCTATCATTTCATCCTAGAAGCAGACCCATGAGGGACGTTTTAGTGTTCCTGTTTTTATGAACAGGACTCAGAGGATTGTAGCTCACTGGTGTTGGCCTTGACACCATGAAGTCCATGCTCTCTGTCCCATCATGCTACCTATCCTCAAACTTCTGACCAGGAGGAATGGCTGAAGAGCAGCTCCTGACATAATCTATTGGTGTCAGAAACCTCAACCAACCCAGCAGTGAGTCTGAACTGAGACCTAGAAGCAGGGCAGAGAAGACTCATAGCGAGATTCAGACTCTCCCAGGGTGTTCGCCATGGAGCCATGGCCCATGTGGCCAACCCACCTAGGAAGCACCTCCTCTGCCAGACAGAAAGAAGTGTTCAAGCTGGCCCTGCCCTCGGGGTGGTTCCAATGCAGTTAAGGAGACAGATGGGTGTGCAGAAAAGATAAATGATGATAGGCAGTACTCTCAGATGGCCCTCAAAATGGGACACTGTGTGTGTGTAAGGCTCCCGGGGATGGAGAGCTTTCCAGAAACAGCAGGCCCTCCTCATACTCCAATTTGTCTTTAGGAAAGAGTTTCTGAGGGTCGTGAACTTGTCTGGTTCCTCTGCTCCGTTTGGACCCTCACAACAACCTTACAATATAGGTCTTGCCATCTCCATTATACGGAAACCTTAGATCACACAGCTGGCGAGCAGTCAAGCTGGCTTTGACTGGCATCTCAGTCTGCTTAACCTTCAACCACACCATGTCGTGTGTGTGTGTGTGCGCATGTGTGTGTGTGCATGTGCATGCTCCTACATGCATACACACACACTGCACATGTCTTATCTACTGTCTACAGTAGGCAATTATTTTTTGGGGAAAGCAACATAGCACATATTGCCAGATGCATTCAGAGAAGCCACATATTCCATAATCCTTCCTGGGTATTTTATTGTTTGTGAAGGACAATGGATTTTTGTGGGTGTTCTGTTTTGTTTTGTTACATTTTAATGAGAAGTCTGGTTAGAAAATAAGTTGTAAAACTTGAGATTTGTATCCTTTACCTGGCGAGTACTTCATGCAGAGTTGGGGCTGCAATGAAAGAATAATGTGGTCCTCGATGATGGCCTCACCCCCAGGGAACCTGCCCCATTTGGTGTTGGGCTAAGTAAGGCATGCAGAGAACAGCAGACTTAGTAAATGCCAACCCACCAGGCCACCACTTGGCCACCCAAATACCCAGGGGCATGTCTCTTCATTCATGTAAGAGACGTTTATCCAACACCTATAGGATCCCAGGCACTAGAGAAAATAAAACAGCTCTGCTTTCAAGATGCTCAGCCTGATGAAGGATGAACAAAAGCTAATCATCGCAAGTACAACATAAGACGTGACGTATGACACAGTCCATGGAAGCAGCCAATTCTATGTAATTAGGAGTGGAGGGGGCAAAAGAAGGTGTTAAGAAAAGTGTAACAGGGGTGCCTGGGTGGCTCAGTCGGTTGAGCGTTCGACTTCAGCTCAGGTCATGATCTCACAGTTCGTGACTTTGAGCCTCGTGTCAGGCTCTGTGCTGACAGCTCAGAGCCTGGAGCCTGTTTCCAATTCTGTGCCTCCCTCTCTCTCTGACCCTCTCCTGCTCACACTGTCTCTCTCTCTCAGAAATAAATAAAACATTAAAAATTTTTTTTCAAAAGTGTAATAAAATTGGAGATACATAACCAGGGCTTTAAAGATTAAAGAAGACTTTCTTTCACAGACAGATTAGGGAGAGAATTCCTGACAGAGGGCACAAGAGGAGCAGAATCAGGGAGAGCCGAGAATGCGGGTCCACTGAGTATGATGATGACATTGGGGCAAACTGGGGTGGAGGGGGGATGAGTTGTGGGTCGTACCCGGGGAATTAGTCCCAGATTGATGAGTTGTCAGTGTTTTTGTTTTTGTTTTTAATTTGTTGTCTAGCACAGCCTGATGTATTTCAGAACCTGGCTCAACTGATATTTTCATCATATGCTTACACCCTGTAGCAATTTCAAATGAGGGCAGGTACATGAAATGAGATAATGTATGTGGAAGCACTTGGGGAACTAGGAAGTGTTATGCACGTTGCTGTTAACGGTGTTCTGCATTGTTCTAAGATTCCCAAGGCAAACCATCATTTGTTCCCATACACAGTCACAGACACCTTGTTATGGGCCCAGCCTAAGCCAGGGGGCTGGGAGGGCTGAGGAGAAGAAGGACACACAGTACTTTCCCAGACACCCGTCTGCACGGCATGACTGCTCACCAAACATCCGCACATGCTTCATAGGTACTGAGACCACAAACCCTTCCAGGCTTGGACCCCATTAATCCACACCACTGGGGCGCCTGGGTGGCTCACTTGGTTAAGGTTAAGCATCCGACTTTGGCTCAGGTCATGATCTCACAGTTCATAGATTCGAGCCCCGTGTTGGGCTCTGTGCTGGTAGCGCAGAGCCTGGAGTCTGCTTCAGATTCTGTGTGTGTGTGTGTGTGTGTGTGTGTGTGTGTGTGTGTGTGTGTGTCTCCCCCTCCTCTGCTCATGCTCTGTCTCTCTCTCAAAAATAAATAAACATTTCTTAGAAATTTCAACCACACCACTGGTTTAACGGCACTGTGTGGCCAGAAGGCAATGGACTTAGTTTCTCACTGCTAGTGTCACCTGTGTGGTCTTCGGGTATCACAGTCCTTCTCTGGACCTCAGTGTCCTCATCTGGAACATTCAGAGATAGCGGCGATGGCCCCACAGCCTTCTCAGCTCTGCAGAATTCAGAAGCAGACTCTCTTCCTTCACATCAGCCTCCTGTGGTTACGCTGGCCTCACCAGGGTGAGATAGCACAGGAATAGCAAGGAGAGTAAAGGAGAGAGGTGTGGGCACTCCAGGACTCGGTTCCAGTCTGGACTCTGCCCATGGCCTTGGAGGTGTCACTGAACAGCACTTCACTGGCTTGTTTACTCCCTTGCAAAAAAACAAACAAACAAACAAAAAAAAAACTATCAAGGAACCCCAAGCCCCAGCTTCTCCAGTAATCAGTACCAAACAGTGTGTCTGCTCAGTGATTCAGCAAACATACACTGAATACCTAATATTTGCTGGCAATGTACAATGCACGAGGCTTCAAAGATTCTTTTTAAATAATAATATTTCAAATAATAAGGGCAGCCTCTCAGAATTCCATGCAGAACTCTAGCCAAGCTAAAAATGTGAATATTTCCTTCTTAAAGTCCGTGATCTACCTGGTGTCTTTGGAGTAGACAGTTACAAAACAGTGCTCCAAGCGCTGTGAGAGTCTAGATTTCAGAACTCTCTGAAGACAGGGCTAGCCACACACTCCGTGTTGAATGAACACCTGTTGAGCTAACAGAGGTTATAAGTACTGGCCACCATGAAAGAACCTGAGAGAGGCACCCAGCGGGGTCAAGGAAAGCATACTAGGGAAGCATCTGATGCCACTTTGCAAGAGAACTGACCTCAAGGGATAGTAAGATCCACATTCCTACCCTGCTCCCAGTAGAGAAGCTTCCGGTAGGCTGAGGTGCTCTGGTGTCAGTACTGCATTTACCAAGAGATGTCCCAGAGGTTGTAAGATGTTTTCAGGTTTGGGGGCAGTGTGGCCAGGAAGGGGAACACTTACGGCAGCAGAGACGGTCTCTGCTCAAACCAAAGTGTTCACAAACATGGCCGCCTGGCCCACGCCTATCTGCCAAGCATTTGTTTTCCACTAAGCTGCTGGGTGTCTGGGTTGGCAGAAGCACAGCAGAATCCAGGCTGAAATTACTTGTTAAATCTCCTTCCTGTAATTTCCTGATCATCTTGTCAGGCATTTGTCTTCATGCCAGAAAAATGAGCCCGCCGAAGGCCAGCTCCACCAACTCACTTTTTTATCCATGCAGAATTCTAGTCAGGCCCAAACTAGGATTTCATTTGTTCACTGGTGGGAGAACAAGCTTGCAGAACTGCTTTGGAAAAAGTGTTGTGTAATGCGTGTGGACATGTGGCAGAGGGGAAGGTATTAACTTTGACAGTAACTGGAGCTGGGTTTGACTTTGGCCTCAACCACTGGTCAGCTCTGGATGCTCCAGGTGAGTCACAGAACACCTCTGAACTTCAATTTCCTGCCCCAGAAAAGCACTTGGAGAGGCCATGTGACCTCCAACAGAGGGGACAAACCATGGGATGCTCAAGCACTGAGGACGGAGTCATAAGCCAGCAGTATGGCAGGTGCACTGCCCACTTCAATGCAAGTGCACACTGTCCAATGCTTCAGGTGGGGTCATCTTCAAAGGATCCACTGTAGGGGTCCCTGGGTGGCTCAGTCAGTTAAGCATCCAACTCTAGCTCAGGTCATGATCTCCTAGTTTGTGGGTTCAAGCCCCGCATTAGCCTCTGTGCTGGTAGTTCAGAGCCTGGAGCCTGCTTCAGATTCTGTGTCTCCCTCTCTCTCTGTCCCTTCCCCATTTGTGCTCGATCTCCATCTCTCTCTCAAAAATGAATAAGTATTTTAAAAATTAAAAAAAAAGAGCACACTGTACTAGTCTCCTGGTCTAGCAGGAGAAGGGGGGCACTCAAATTAGATAATTTGAGGAAAGTTGAATAAAGAGATGATGCATGAAAGTATGCGTAGCATGGAGGAAGACCTTGGGGGAACAGTACAGTGCTCTGGAGCTCAGAACTGCCTGCACCCTAAACACCCTGACAAGGCAAAAGGGCAAGAGTGGTTATCAGAGCCCACATACAGAGTGCAGTGTGTGCAGAGAACCTCCTGACAGGAGCTGTGACCTTCAAAAGAGCGAGGCAGCCGGACAGCGGCAACCCCACAAGATGGGGACTGGGGAAATTAACACCCCAACGTCTCTCCCTAATCCCCTCACAGGACTCCCCAGTGGCCAAACTCAGACAGGTGCTAAAAGGTACAGGAGCCCTTTGGGACCACCTACATCGGTCACCCTACTGGCGCTAGAGCAGGTTGAAGTGAGTAAGAGATTAGGTCTGGGGGGAGAAACAGGAGATACCTAGCACACCCCGTGAAATCCACAAGAGAAAGAGTCAACTTTGACTATGTCCCAAACTTTGCAGGCACAAAAACAACGAATGGTGGTTCCAGTCAAATAAGATCTTCCCTATCCTGAGCACTCCCCTGTGCTCCTGCGAACCCCAGAGGGGACAGAAACTACAGGAGGGCAACGGAGTTGAGAGCAGGGGAAGGAGGCACAAAGCAGGAAGAGAGAAAGCTGGCTGTGGCCCCTTTCCCGCTGCAGGCTTGCAGCCTGAAGTAAGCCTGAGATGGAGAATGTATTAGAGTAGGCTAGACTGCAGTAACAAACAGACCCAAACATTTAGTAACTCAACACAACAGAGGTTTGTTTATTTCTTGGTCATAAAACATTAGGAGGGGCGCCTGGGTGGCTCAGTCAGTTAACCAACTCACTTCAGCTCAGGTCATGATCTCACCATCCGTGGGTTCAAGCCTCGTGTCAGGCATGCAGACAGCTCAGAGACGGGAACCTGCTTCAGGTTCTGTGTCTCCTTCTCTTTTTGCCCCTAACCCCCCTCACACTCTGTGAGTCTCTCTCTCAAAAATAAATAAACATTAAAAAAAAAAAAAAAACCACTGGGGCGCCTGGGTGGCTTAGTCGGTTAAGCGTCCGACTTTCGCTTAGGTCATGATCTTGCGGTTCGTGGGTTCAAGCCCCGCGTCGGGCTCTGTGCTGACTGCCAGCTCAGAGCCTGGAGCCTATTTCAGAGTCTATGTCTCCCTCTCTCTCTGACCCTCCCCTGTTCACGCTGTCTCTCTCTCTCTCCTAGAAATAAATAAAAATATTAAAAAAAAAACAAAAAAACCCACACATTATAGGAAAGTTCCAGGTTGGGGTAGTGGGGAAGCCAGGAGGCTTGGCTCAGGGACTCCGGCCAATGACCCTTAACACATAGCTTCCAACAACCACCCTGGGGGCACTTCCACCACAGTAAGCTAGAAAGAGAAAACAGTATGGAGCAGCACACATGGGAAGCTTTTAAGGAGCAGGCCTGGAAGTGAAACACATCCTTTCCACTCACATTCCATTGGCTAGAAGCCAGTCATATGACCATGCCTAACTGCAAGGGAGACTGGGAAATGTAGGCCAGCCGGGCAGTCATGTGACCAGAACACATTATAATGGAAAATGGGGGGAAATGAATTTGAGTGGACAGCTGCCAGCCTCTGTTACAGAGAAACTTTAAATCCTGTATTTTGCTATTACAGAGAATCAACATTAAAATACTGAAAAAGTCTGTTTTGGGATTAAAAGTTACATGAGAGTTTTTATTATTTGGCAGTGGTAGAATCATGAAGTCTACCCTAGATTTTATCAAAGGAACAAAAAAGTACTAGTCAGAGAGTAGGCTTACATAGACCTTATCAATAGTTCTAAAGCTGTTTTCATATACCATTTGCTCAGTTATACCAGTTACTCTCCTTATGTAATCAGTATGAATATTACTTTTCTCTCTTTTTACTTCTGTGAAATTTTTTAAAATTTCTTATAGTAAAGATTACTTTTAAGTGGGGAAAAATATAAAAATTGGCCTTTAAAAAAAAAAAAAAGGCCAATGAAGGCAGCACCTGGGTGGCTCAGTCAGTTGAGCATCCAACTCCTGATTTCAGCTCATGATCTCATAGTTCATGCGATCGAGCCCCATGTCAGGCTCTGCACTATCAGTGCAGTGGGATTTTTCTCTCCCTCTCTCTCTGTCCCTCCCCCACTTGTGCTGTCTCTGTCTCTCTCTCAAAATAAATAAATAAACATTAAAAATTCAAAGTAAACTAAAAGGCGAGTGAAGTTACTCATTTTCGTATTCTGCTCACATTCAGTTCTTTATCAAGTACTAGTGCCGAGTTGGTGCCTTAGTTCAGACTGCTTTAACAAACATCATAGATGGGGAGCTTAAACAACAAGCTTTATGTCTCACAGTTCTGGAGGCTGGAAGATCAGGGTGCCAGCGTCACCAGATTCTGATGAGGACCCTCTTCTCGGTTGCAGACTGCTGGCTTCTAGCTGTGTCCTTACATGGAGGAAAGATGGCGAGAGAGCTCTCTGGGAGCTCCTTTAAGAACACTGTTCTCACTCATGAGCGCTCCACACTTGTGAAATAATTACCTCCCAAAGGCCCCACCTCCTAATACCATCACGTTGGGAGATGGAATTTCAACATGTGAACTGGAGAGGAGGGAACAAATACTGAAGCCGTAACAATGACCAGGAGTTGTATTTAAGGAAGTTGACCAGGACAGCCAGGGAAAGAAGCTGAGGGCAGGAGAACAAAGAATGTGGACTAAATCAAGGTGCAACCATCACAGACAGGATTTAGGTAGGAACAAACACGCTTCTACAGTAAATTATAAGATAGCTCTGGCTCAAGATCTAGGTAAAACAGGTAAAGGTGGTTGCCAGTAATGGTGGGCTCATAGATGTCCTCCTGAGAACAAGTCCAGGGATGGCACTTGAGACTATACATGGCTCAATCCTGTTTAGGTCCTAAGTAAACCTCCTCACTGCCTGCAGCCTGTCTTCCCAGCCCCATTTCCACTCTTATCATCATCTGCATATGATGTCCAAGCTTAAATGGTGGAAACAGGATTTGAACCCAGGCAGCCAGGGAAATACACACATTCCCCGGAGAGATGGGCTTCAGCCAGTAGGACGGGTGGGCCTCTTTGTCCTCCTCCAAATACAGTGGTTTCATGAACTAATTAACTCCAGAGATAGAAGTGCAGTGATCCCCTCCCAACCCCAGGC